CTGTCTTCCATCTGCCCCCCATCTGTATCCCATCTGTCTTCCATTTGCGTCCCATCTGCCCCCCTTCTGTGTCCCATCTGCCCCACATCTGTCCCCCATCTGTGTACCATCTGCCCCCCATCTGTATCCCATCTGTGTCCCATCTGCGTTCCATCTGTGTCCCATCTGCTCCCCATCTGTGTCCCATCTGCCCCCCATCTGTCCCCCATCTGTGCCCCACTGAAATCTCTCTGTATACCCAGGAGGTGGACGTAGGAGTGAGCGCCCCCACCCTGTGGCTGGCCAGTAGCGCAGACCGACGGGTCAGTGTGTGGTCAGCCGACTGGGCCAGCGACTTCTGTGAGCTGGTCGACTGGATGACGTTCCCGGGACCCGCGGTCATGCCCGACGGCACCAGGATCAGGAAGAACGACACGGTGGGTCCTGATTGGTTGCTTGGTGTGTGGGGTGTGTGTCTGACTTTGTGTGTGTGTGTGTGTCTGACTTTGTGTGTGTGTTTGTGTGTCTGACTTTGTGTGTGTGTGTGTGTGTGACTTGTGTGGGTGTGTGTGAGTGGTGTGTGTATGTGTGTGTGACTTTGTGTGTGTGTATCTGTGTCTGACTTTGTGTGTGTATGTGTGTCTGACTTTGTGTGTGTGTTTGTGTGTATGACTTTGTGTGTGTGTATGTGTGTCTGACTTTGTGTGTGTGTTTGTGTGTCTGACTTTGTGTGTGTGTGTGTGACTTGTGTGGGTGTGTGTGAGTGGTGTGTGTATGTGTGTGTGACTTTGTGTGTGTGTATCTGTGTCTGACTTTGTGTGTGTATGTGTGTCTGACTTTGTGTGTGTGTTTGTGTGTATGACTTTGTGTGTGTGTATGTGTGTCTGACTTTGTGTGTGTGTTTGTGTGTCTGACTTTGTGTGTGTGTGTGTGACTTGTGTGGGTGTGTGTGAGTGGTGTGTGTATGTGTGTGTGACTTTGTGTGTGTGTATCTGTGTGTGACTTTGTGTGTGTATGTGTGTCTGACTTTATGTGGTATGTGTGTGTGTGTTTATGTGTGTGACTTGTGTGGGTGGGTGTGTTTATGTGTGTGACTTGTGTGGGTGTGTGTGTTTATGTGTGTGACTTGTGTGGGTGTGTGTGTTTGTGTGTGTGACTTGTGTGGGTGTGGGTGTTTGTGTGTGTGACTTGTGTGGGTGTGTGTGTTTGTGTGTGTGACTTGTGTGGGTGTGGGTGTTTGTGTGTGTGACTTGTGTGGGTGTGTGTGTTTGTGTGTGTGACTTGTGT